CACCCTGTTTCCTGTTCAGGAGCAGCTCCCAAAGCGTCACTTCTCCTCGATCCTCCATGGTCCCCAATCTTCAAAGGACAGACGGCGACTCTCACATGCAAGGACCCCCATTCTCCAGCCCAGGGATATTGGTATCATGACAAGGAGTTTATAAAAAAGTCTGAAAAGATTCAAATAAAGAAGACCGGATGTTACAAATGCAAGACCGACAGGTCTTCTGTTAGTGACCTCGTATGTGTGGAATTTTCATCTGGTAAGAAAAGCCAGGGGGAGTCTCTGAAATCCAGCCCCTGGGCAGCATGTCTGCGGGAGTCCCGGCAGCCCTCATGTAAACAAGGGGGGGTTGAGGGGGGTGCTCAAGGGACCGACCCCAGTGGGGAGGACAACAGGCTCGGGCTACGTTGTCCCTCTTCTCAGACACCTAGAGAAGTGTCGGTAACCCGAAGTCACCAGGTCTGAAGAAAGGCATGGTGTCAAGTCCTCTTTTGACAGTCAGTGTGGGAATTTCGTAAGGACATTTTCCGGGAACTACTTCGTTGTCCTGGGACAAGGGAGAATCAGGCCCTGGGACCACAAGGAGATGTCGATGGGGGACGTGTGCACAGGCCTGGAGCAGTTTCCTCGTGGGCAGGAATGGGGGCTCGGAGGAGGAAGTGGCAGAGGATGGACTGTGTGTGTTCCTCCCCGCTCTGCAGGCTGGCTGGTCCTCCAGGCCCAGCACCCTGTCTTTGAAGGAGATGACGTAACTCTGAGATGCCAGGGGAAAGATGATGAGACAATCAGGGAGAGGAATTACTACAAAAATAGGGAGAAACTTGATGGTACTCATAATTTAAAGAGCATCACAGTACGTTCAGTCTCCAGGGACAGTAGCACTTACTACTGTACTGCTTCTGGGAAAAGTCTTTTGTCATGGACAGTAACTTCGTCCACTTTAAAGATCCCAGTTCAAGGTAATGACTACAAGCCTGTGGGTAGTGGGGCATGGTAGGGAAACAGCGGGTGGGGACTGAGGGGGTGCTTGTCCGTGGGGGAGCATGGAAAGCCTCGTGTGGCCCAGCCGTGGGAGGGAGAGAGAAGTGGTCGCCTGCTCAGGGCTCTCGTTCCTGGTGGCTGTGCTGAGAACGCAGGCGAGTGTCGCCAGGAGCCCTGAGCCTGTGCCCGATCCTGTTTTGTTCTCTCTAGAGCTGTTCCCACCTCCTATGCTGAAAGCCAGCCCCTCCCAGCCCAAGGAGGGGAGCCCGGTGACCCTGACCTGTGAGACCAGGCTCCCTCCGCAGAGGTCAGATGTCCAGCTCCAGTTCTGCTTCTTCAGAGAAGGTCAGGCCTTGGGGTCGGGCTGCAGCAGCTCCCCGGAACTCCAGATCCCGGCCATGTGGAGTGAAGACGCAAGGTCTTATAGTTGCCGGGCTCAGACGGTGACTCTCAGTGTCACGAAGAGAAGCCCGTGGTCCCACATACATGTGCAGAGTGAGTGTCTGGGGGCTGCTCTCCCAAAGCCAGAGCTGGCACAGGAGAGCAGTACAATGACATCTGCATCCTGGGACGGTCATCAGGACAGGGAGGGTCGTCCAGCTGTCCTAGCGGCCTCTTTTTAGGTTCGACACTGGCCTAGCTTCCCCAGAACACTCTCTTCTATCTACCTCAGGTAATAGTAGCTATCGACCTCTTTCTGGGGGCCCAGTCCTGTGGGGGCTGCAGACGCATAAGGGACGTGCTCTCTCACGAGTCAGCGGGTAGCTAGGGGCACAAACCTGCCGTCTTCAGAGGTTCCTACGGTGCTTCCATTGTTGACCGAAACACATCAGAAAAGAGGACGATCACACGAACTAAATAAAAAGAGTCAGAGGAGAATGGAGAAGGGTCGGAGAGGGGGTGGGATTCTGAGTAGAGTCTCTTCAGGGCAGAAGTAACATTCCCGCTGTTGTGTCTAATTTTGTGGTCCATCTGGTGCCTTGAAGATTCCTTAGAGATAAATGTCCCTAAAATGTGACTGCAGCCAACACTAGGCTTAAGATCAAAGTCCCGGGGCCCACCTTCCCCACGGGTGGGAACTGCTGTGGAGAGGGCTGGGGAAGGGGTGTTTCTCTCTTTATAACAAACGACATCATTAGTTCTTTGGACC